CGTTATTCTGTACAAACGTGAGAGATCTTGAGGAAATACACAATAGCTGGTGTGTTACAATTACTAACCTTAACCTTCCTAATTTTTTTGCTCTTTAGTCTCAGGGTAGACAGAATAAAATATATTTCCTTCAATATTTATGGTAAAAATTTGCTGTGCAATTTGTACCTGCTTTCCTTGTGCCCATTTTCACTAAACAAGGTGTTGAGATACTCTCTTCAAATTAGCAGTTTCACATGTATCATACATTAAAGATGAGAGGAAGGTGAAAATTTTGGGTGTTTCCAAAACTTGACCATTTAGCAAATACTAAGGCTGTTTGGGTGGATAAGGGGATGCTCTGAAGACCTAGATTATACACGGAGTTCTGCCACAGTCTTGCTCCACAACCCTGTTTCTTCCCTGTCTGCACTGAGCCTCCCAGCCTGCTCAGTGGCCACCGACGTGTTCTCTACCATCTTCTGAGCAAGAAAGCTGGGCTGGGACCATTGCTGTGGCATGTGAAAGATGTTCACACCGCAGGGTCAGGTCTGACGCAACCAAGCCAGTGTGCACAGCAACAGCCCAATTAGTCAACTTCATTCAAACAAACCTGGGAACGGCATCAAACACCTTGCACCAGCAAAGCAGGACCATCTTCCCGTGCTTGGAGATGACACCTGCCTCTCCCTGAACATGGCAGGTCATGGGTGCAGCTGTAGCACCAGCACAGCAGCGTGCTGGTCTTTACATAGTACAAGGTTTCAGCGTGCTGGTCTTTACATAGTACAAGGTTTCCTCATGTATGCAAGGGAGAACCAGCTTGGCAACAGACACATCCTTTAAATAATAAATATTAAAAGAAATATCATGTCTTTAAGCCAGCTGAAAAATTCCATATGCCTTGGAGCCAAACAAAGAGAGGACATCTCCATTCAAAATAGTGCTGTACTCCTACAGACAGGCTTCTCCAGGTGAGCACCAAGGCTGCCCAGCCCTCGCTGTTTCCCTGGGGCTATGTACCAGTGTCTTTCTGCCACGAATATCCCATCTACAGGAACTTCAAGTTCAAGCAAGAACAAGCCAGTAGCACAAGGAGGCAGTGCTGGCACATGCTGTTGACTGCGTTTATATTGATTCCTCTATCTTTCTTCTTTCCAGTATTTCATGGAGAACATGACATGCTTTTTTTTGTTTCTGTTATTTTTTTTTTTTTTAAATGAACCGGCAAAGTGACAGGGTAGCTACATGCAAGGTATGGGGTACTGCGTTTCTGTTGGCTGCCATGGCAGCACAGAGGGGTGCTCTGGTGCTCAGTTGTCACCTTATGAAGCTGCTTTCAATATGGTGAATCAAAATTGTTCCTCAGCAACAGATCCTGGGCTGGCTTTTCAGGCTGGGCGCCGATGAGCAGCCATTTCCATCTCTGGGCCTGGTGATTAGTTTTATTCAGCTGAGAGACAAGTAGCTGGATGTTTTCTTGGGCTATCAAATGGGACATATGAGAGCTGGATTCCATCTTTCGTTAGATCTTGGAAATTGTGCCCTCCTGACGCAGTTGATTAGCATGATGTTCTTGGCTGCTAATGTTTGCTTTCAAATTTCAGCGTCAACAGACTCGGCGACATAAATTTTGTGAGGATGGTCTAATAGTTTAGGGTGTTAGCCAAGGCCTCCACAGCTTTCTTCAACCCCTCAGCTTTTACAGACTTCCCTGTGTGCAGACAGGTCTCATGGTTTCTGTCCAAGTCTCAGCTTTCCCTTTGAAAAACATCTATAATAGTACTTTCCTGCTTCATAGGACATATGCATTACAGATTGCACTACGACAGAGGCCAGGCAGCACCATTGCAGTCCTCTGCCTCCCTGTCTCCACGATGGAGGATCTATTCTGCAAACCTTTTCTTTGATCCTTTCACAGTTTAACATAAAATCATTTACGTTGGAAATTTGTCAGTTGAACGTGTTTCTATTTGTTTACTTTCAATTTGCCCATTGTATATACCTGCAGGCTGTAGAAAGAACATCTGTGGAAAAAGGCATATTTCCTTTTTTAAGTAAGCCATTTGATGTAGGCTCCTATATAAGGTATACGCCCCTCAGCTGGTGTCTTCCGTGTGTGATCATTTCCAAACTATATCCTCCCTAAACCAGTGTGATGTACAGCAAAACCACACACTTTTAACCTGTGAGTACAATCCAGAGGATATAATCCTGACTGTTTGCTGTGTTTTTATTACCTCAATTACATTTATAATGTTATATAATTATAACAATTCATGGCTGAAAAATAGTGTTAGTTACAACTGCAAAAAATACCATGCCTCTCTTGAAGTTAGACGCAAGCAAAATATAAAATATCTAGCTAGTACAGTTACACAGTGAATAACACATCTGCCATGGGGAATAACACATGCTTTTCTTCGCTATTCACTAAACACTAACAGAGGGCTGAATTTTCAAAGTGAGGAGAGAGGTGGAACTGATTTTAGTGCACCAAAATGCTAGTGCCATTTTATAGATGCAGTTAGTACTATTGCAAATAAGTAGTTGTGCATGTAGGAGCTCACTTAACTGGTCGTTTCTGTATGTAATTTGAACTCACAAAAGGCATATTACAGACCTGTTTGAAACAGATGTGCTCCTACCCTCCATTTAAAACAAAATTAGTCAGTTGTATTAGTGTAGGCAACCTTTGCAGCCACTAATATACAATCACACACTTTTTAATCATATATGAGAGGAATTAGGCAGAAGAAGAAAATGAAAATACCACTGAACAGTAGCTTCAGTGTTTGATGCTCCTTTCAGATAGCTTGTTCTCATTTAAATGGAATGAGAAAATGCAAAACATTAAATGTAGGATTGTCTATTTTCGCTTGATATAGCATAGGCTTACAACTTAAACACCCTGGGATGGAACTGTTTTCATACCTGCCAGACAAACCTCCATTAACTAAAACCAACAAAAATACAAGCAGGACAGCCAAATAATTGGAGGTGAATTTATCCTATATAACCAATGTATTCATGCCATGCTTTTTTATACTTTGTGCTACTACTCTTATTAGCCCACAATATCTAATGCAGTGCTTCTTCAGACTCCCTTATTCCTCCCATCAGTTCAGGCACAGAGATCCATTTCCGCACAACCAGCATTCAACCTCCAGCTCTCTGACTTTCAAACCGTGTCTTTCACAGACCACCAGGAAGGATTTTGCAGAACACTAGCTGAAAGACACTTATTGTGCAACTAATAAGGAAGGTTTAAAAACCATTAAAATTCTGACTCGTACTTTAAAATGACATGAAATTCTGAATTAAGGCTCTGCCTTGCATCCCTGGTTGCACAATTGCACCTAAGTGCTGCCAACAGTGTAGTAAGATCACAGGTTGCCTGCAGCAGCTGAAATGCACAGGCACTTTGGACCACTACAGCTTTTTGCTCAGTCTCCTGATGGCTTTCTTGGGAGCCTGTCCACCATCAAGGCTAGAGAGGAAGGCAAAGAGTAGGAAGTTTGAGCTCTGAATTACTTCGATGGTTTACTTCAGCCTCTCATATATTGCTGTCTTTGAAGTCATAACAGCTCCGTGCTCAACTATTTAATTTAGGCCTCAAAATTACACTTATCCTTAAATTGTTGTCAGATGATGAAGGAAAAAGTAAAATGATAAAATGTTCACTTTTTAAGCCATCTGTTTAAAAAATTGGGGAGAAAACATAGCGAATATTTCAGACCATTCTTTTGAATCACTGATATGAAACAATTTGGTGAGTAGGTATTGTTTGTATGATGGGACCAAGGATTTTCGGTTGATATATGGCTGGTGTGATGGAATCTTAAGATCTGCTGTATGGATGGGAGTATATGTTAAAAAATTAAGATCCAAGGAAACTGCATAAGGAAAATTGTTGTGATTAAAAATTGAAGAGCATTGATCTACATTATTGACTGACAATTGTAAACCTTGCATTTTACAGGACAGCTGCTTCCTAACTTGTGTACAAAAATCTTCAAAACTGTTGGCTCTTTTCTTTACAGGTTTTAAAATTGTAATTAACTAGATATGGCATAAATATCATTTAGATGTTGACTATGGGGCTAGACTAAGCAGTACCAGTATAAGAAATAAAGGCCAGGTATTACTGTAGAATTGCTTACAGAGCCATCAGCCAGCCTGCAGGGAGCCACTCTGGTGAAAAATGTCCATGCATAATGTAAACCTCTTTTTTTGGTGATGGTGGTTTAGCAACCTCCATTTCAGGTGGGTATGACGTTTTTAATTGATTCCTAGCACCACAGTCTATATCCTTCACTGATACATGTCCATTTCACAAGGTTATTGGCTTTCAACATACCTTGTTAGATGTTAGGAGGAGACAGATTTTTCTGCACAGATTGATGTCTATTGATATCACATTAGTTCATCAAAGTTACAAATCACACTGCATTGCACTACATTTCACATTTGCTGTCTCATGACAAGAAGTTTATGACATTCACTCTGGGGCACATAAGATGCCTGCTACACACCCCTTGGATAAATAATTTAAGGAATTGTTGGGAAATCATACCTAATTAGTAAGGATTTGCACTCAACAAGTGCCCTTTGATTTAAATTGTATTTGTATTTTGATAGATATTGATTTTATGAGTAGGAGAGATGAATAATACATTTTGCATTTCTCCACTGTTCACAGCAATAATATGACAGAAATAGTGGAGGAACACTCCTGCGATGGAAGCTGCCTCTTTGGGGACCTGTATGCCTTTCCCCAGAAAACCCATGGGGCAGTTAAAGGCACTCCTAAACTGCATAGAGTGGCCTGATCCCATTTTCTTCCATTGATTTCCTGCATCATCCTGGACAAATCACTCAGCCTCTCAAAGTCGCTCCTTTTCCAGCTGTAAAATGGAAACAGAATCGTTCCTCATAAGTCCGGAAATGGCTGTGAGACATAGGGAGAACAAGAGTAGCTACATCTGAGTCAGTATTACTGAAGTCCTGCCTAGCATTACCACAAGGAGCATGGGGCAAAGAAGGGAGCCAGCAAATGAGTCTTTCTGTGGGTGCAGAAGAGCCTTGTTACACACACTAGGGCCCATGGTGAAACCGTATGCCTCCGAGAGCAGTAAGGCAGAGGTGGGCGTCACGCAGCTCACTCGAATCCAGCTGGGCTGCCTTCTGTCCATGCTGACAGCATTAATGTTCTGGTTGTTTTCACTACTCACTTCCCTGGGTGAAATGATAAAACAAGATTAATTTGTTTTTTTGATTGGATGCTAATCCCTTAGAGTAAGAAAAGTGAACAAGGTGTAGGCTGTACCATGCACATAATCCAGGTAACACGTGCAGGCTGGTATCTTTCCGAGGCAATAGCCACTTGGCATGCAGGTACTCAAGCCTGCTTGCCTGAGTGGCTGGAGGTGAGGAACAGAAGCAGGCAAAAACATCTCTAAGATTGAAAACAAAATTATAGAAAAGCTTTATTTTTTTTTTCCACCCAGTATGCTAGCTCTGATTAGAAAGGAAAACAGTAGGCTCGACTGTGCAACACAATAAACCATGGCATCAAAGCAAGCATCAAAGTGGCCCCTCAGCTGCTGGCAAACAGTACAGTCGTAAGAAAAGAGACAATGAAAATACAATAAGTAGAAATAGCAGTTTTTTCACCATAATATAAACACCATAGACATTCTTTTAATACAAAGAGAAGTTGGATCAACAGTGACAGCTTTAAATTTTCCAAGTATGATGGGAGGACTCTAAAATACATCCTTCCCAAACAAGCTGAAGGAGCAGAATGAGCCAAGATGTTCTCCTCAGAACAAAGACATCCCTTTTCATAGGTCTCAGACAGTTAGCAGGCTTAATTTTTTTTATTATTTTTACCATCATTTCTGTCTCACTCTACCTTCAGCAGATGTGCTGAAATATCTGTTAGTTCCTGTTTACGTAGGTGCAGTCCACTGCATCAAAATCACTTGATGCTCTTCAAAAATCAGAAATTTTATTAAGATGTTTTATTAGAATATGCATCTTAAAAAAAATTCCCAAGTAGACAACTGTGGAACTCTGAAGTCATATAGAAAAGCAGACAATTCAATGCATTTGTGTCCTCAGCCTCTCATAGGGGAAGATTTGAATAATGCATGGTGGGTTTCTTTGTGATGCTTTTCCTTTTTTTTCTTTTTGTTAATATTTTACATTCTTTTAGAAGTATTACCTGTATGTTAAGGCCTATATTCATATAATCATGAGTGACATGCAACTTCTCTGTCTCACCTTTCTAGTTCCAGGCAGATTTAGAGAAATTGAGGTCTGGCAACACACGGCTGATGTGCACAGGAGCACACAGCTGAAAGCATAAGAATGGGACTGCCTGAACTTTTTTTTTTTCCTTTACTCATTAAAGTTTCATCTGAAGAATTTTTGTGGGAGCCTTAGCCAGCGAAACAGCACTCGCCACTTTTAGGTTCCCAAACAGCAGTGCAAGGGGAGAACATGTATCTGGTCTTTCGTATCTGGTAATACAGTCTTTCTGCTTATGCCTGCTGTACCCTCCCAGATGCAATAAATCACCCTCTTCAGTATCTTTTCATAACTGACAAGCAATATTAATTATCCTGAAGTATTTTTTAAGAGGATGAATATTGGAGTTCTTACTTATTTCACGAGATATTCTGCTTTCCAAGTAAAACGCAAAGTGTTTGTAGTAAGTTTCACTTTAAGGCAATGCCAGATAGCTCCTGGGTAACCCATCTAGCAAAGTCTGATACCTGGTGAAGCCAACATGAGAACCATATATGCTTTTATGAATGCAGAAAAGGTCCACAAATCTCAAATAGTATTACACGCTCTGTTTTATAAATCTTTTATGTGTTTTTCTTCAATAAATACATATATTTTGCTTTTTGAATCTCAGGGCCCCTCTTGAGCTGCATGGCTCTTCGAATCTTTATAGAAAACTAGCAACATGAAACTGAAAATAAATGCTTTTAGGAAATGGGGAAAGTCTATACTTCACCAAGGAAAGTGTGGTTTAAAATAAACACAGGCTCCTGCAACATCTAAATTTTGCATATTTTCTGCAGAGCATGCCACAGCTATTGACATGCTGTTGGTTTTATATGTCCCAGGATGCATGAATTATTACTGTCATTCGACATTTTATATTCCTAGTTCCATAGCCTATAGCAATACTTACTATCATCTGTGGTAGGCTATACCAGATCTCTGGCAATGCCTCTTATTGATCAAGCACTGCTCAGTGTTTGTCTGCTCAGTAGTGCAAAGACATCCTAATTCTCTAAGACAGAAAACCCACAAGTTACTGCGTTTGGGACTTCTAGTCCTTTTAAGAGACTCAAGACACGAAACACAGATTACAGATACCTTCTCCCCCACCAGCGGGCAAACTGATAGTTGTCTTATGAGCTTCAGGTACTACAAAAGAAAGTGCATTGCACAGTAATACTAAAGAGAAAAGCTGGCCAGATGCTAACAAACAGTGCCAATATGCAAACTGGTTACGAAAGGGACATCAGGAATGAGAGAGACATTCTACTGAGAGTCGATGGACTTGCGGTGACAGGTTTATTAACTTCTTGAAAAAGGACCTAGCCCCAGTGAGCAATACAGAGATCCCAGTAGCAGAAAAGCAATGTCAAAGGTGTTTGTACTTCTGGATTTGAAGGAAGGTAAACTAGCTCAGTGCTTACTTGGGTGAAATTCCCTGAAGACAGCACGAGCATGAATTTATGTAAATAATAAAATAGATATTGCAAACCACAGGGCAGTGGAGAACACGATGACTGTCTGTGAAAAGACCCAGTGTGGCAGTGACTGGTTTCTGGGCCCAGAACATGCACGTACATGCACTCCAACATCCACTTGCGTCAAAAGAAAGGCAACCTACACTTGGCCTGGGACAACTCCTGTCAGGCACCGCAGCTCATTGCAGCAGCACACCAGCCTCAGCCCCTGCTCTGGGGAGCTATTTTATCACCTGCTCCCTTCCCCGGTCCACACTTTTCCCCTTGCTTTGGTGCTGTCTCCTCTGATTTCTCTCTGCTCCTTACAGGGAGCAGCTGTGGCCCCAGCAGGCTTCAAAGAGGCCATGGCTTTGCTCCCCTACACAGCCCGTCGGGTGGAGCAGGTCAGCAGGCAACGGGGAAACAAGAAACACGGCAGGGGAGAACCACACAGGGGGTGGAGTGATAGTGCAGAAACTTTGACCTCTTCTAAAAAAAAGCAGCTTTATTTCACATATATATTTAAAAAAAAAAAATCTCCAGGTGATTCCTGCAAATAATGCCATTACGGATTGTTAGCAGCATTTTTAACTTTATTTCTTACATCTTTATTTTTCAGTTAGTTTCTTAAAACATATTCACTCCATTGCACTGGTGCAGCTGAGCTAGGTTCACCTGATACAAAGACAAGGGGGCCATACCCTCAGTTCGACTGAAAGCGTGGCTGCAGAGCTCCTGAGATGAGGAGTCTTGGGGCCGGGGACCGCTTGTGCTTGTGGGCACAGTTTGGGGCAGGGGGGCAGCCGGTGCCCTGAGCTGGGGAGCACAGGGGCCACACTGATTCCCATCACTGTGTGCGGAGAACCCCTCCTGAAGGGCTGACAGCCACCACTGTGCATGGTGGTGGTGACGGCTGCACCACGTGTGCAGGGTTTGCTTGTGTGTGCACACTGGTGTGGCCATGTCCATCTGCACAGGTCAGGTGTGACGGTGATGAGATGATGCCCACGGTGGGCTCGTTGGTGAGTCATCTGGCTAGGAGAGTGGTGGGGACAATGTCCGAGCCCTGCCAGGGATGGTCTCCAGGTCTGCACACCCTCAGCACAGTCCTCCCACAGCAGCAAGTGCAGGGGCAGCCAGGAGCCATCTCTGCCTCTGACCCATCAGTATCAGATGTTTCCCTTGAAGCCATGACATCAGCCAAGGGGAGGAACCTGCTTAGCTTGGCCAGACTGAAACACTGGAGAATTTGCACAAGGCCAGCTCAGCTTCTCCCCTTAGCCTTGTGGCTGCCCTTCATCAGGGTGTGGCCCCCAGGGGAGCATCCTGGTCTTCTGCCCTGGACCGTCAGCGAGGTTGTGCTTCACACTCAGGGAACCAGTGCTCACATATTCTCAGGGCTGGTTGCTCAGGGACTGAAATACTCCAGTAACACCTCATCAGCATTCACCTGGCCAGGGATCAGCTTTAATGCATTTGTGTGGTAAGCATCCTGCCTGGTGTCCGACAGCACCCTGTCCCAGCAGGTTGTGGCTCCCTGTGTGGGGCGAGGGCCTTCCCCTGCTCCGGGTACCTGCTGGACCCAACTCTCAGGACAACGGAGATCTTGGATGACACCTGCAGTCCATGGCCTTGCTGACTGTGGCTTTGCTCCTCGCTTTTGCTGCAGAGGCAGCGCTTGCAGCACCCTTCTGGCATGCTCTGCTGGTCTTCTGTAAGGGGCTCTTCCTCCAGCTATCGTTTTTTGTCCCACAGCTCTGAGTGCAAAAGTGAGCCTGAAGCATGGCAAAGAGTCTTTCTGCTTGCATTGCACCTCTCTCCTATCGCCTGATCCTCCTGCTTCCCTCACCCACTCCACCAGTGTTACTCCCACCCGAGGGGCCCCCAACATCTTTATTTCCTGGCTGCATCTCTTGGGAAGCATCACTGGGTCATGAACCATATCCTCCAAACGCTGACTGCATCTGCTGCCTTAGCACAGAGTCCCTTATACAATGCCAACTTGCTGCAATGAAAATCTGTCCTTCTTCAATTTATCCAGTGAGGTTTTATTATCACTTGAAATACAGTGGCACAGATCTGCACCCGTAATGTCTTCAGAGTCACTTAATGGCCCAGCTACAGAGCATGATTCCAGTTGAGCTCAGCTGAACACAGAAGGTGACTTCTGTCACTGAAGCACTTCATCACTGGGGTAATGCAGGCTGGTAAGGCAGGCAGCATTTGACTAGCGAAGCCTCTTTCTTTGGCATCCTGGGGGGGGAGCATGGCTGCACATGAGTTCAAACCTTGCCAGCAAGGAAAATATTTTGCTTTGCCAAAACATTATAATGGTGGGTTTGTTCCTGCTTTTTGAAGGGATGGGATTTAATCAACAGATCCATTCAGCTCCTCAGCCAGCTTGAAGAGAGCTGGTTAATGACAAAGACCACTTGCAT